TCTTTTTTTTCTTTTTCTTTTCTTTGTCTTTTTTTTTTTTTTTTGTTTTGTTTCTATTCTCGTTTTAATAAAAACGTCGAAAAGACACGCGATGCATTACGCGCGTAAAAAAGGAGAGGGGTAATTTTTTTAAACAATTTATCGTGCAAAATGTAAAAACCATCAATTGTCAGGCGACGTAACGATTTATCGATCGGGGAAATGTTTTTCAAGGCAGTCGAGAACTTTTTCACCAACTTATCACGGGGCGGATCGCATCGCGAAAGATGATTCATCGAGGCGTAAAGTTTAAAACTCGAGCAATTGTACGTCGGAACAATGGTGAACGGCGTCACCGTGTAACGAATCGCCGCGAAAATTGATAAAATATTATTAAATCCCACCTCTTTCCCCTCCCCCCCCTCTCCTCCCCGATCCCCCCTTCCCACTCCTCGCCGACCAAGAGATAGCATTACTAATTTATTTAAATGGACTTATCTTTCCGAAGCCCCGATAGGAATGTAAATTGAACCCCCGCTGAATCAAGGGAGTAATGGCACGAGTAAGATAAAGATATTTTATTGCTTTGCGGTCGGACATATTTAAGCAGGGTGAAGAATCTTTTTTCCATCCTGGAACCCATCACTCCCTCCCCCTTCCACCCTCCTCGCATTCCTCTCGCGTCTTCTTATATAACCACGTCTCGCATAAAACGACGAATCTTCCTTTTCGATCATCATTTTCCTTTTCTTTTCTTTTCTTTTTCTTTTTTTTTTTTTTTTCGTCGAGTCGTGCAAAATTTTTCTTTCTTCCAACGGGGGGCGGGGTGGGAATTTGAGCGCGAACACGAAGCGAGACGGAACACGGTTCCGCGAAGCTTCCAGTGACGAGAAGCGGAAGCTGGCGCGATCGCGCGGCCGGACCATCCGTACGTAGAGGGATGAAACGGGCCTCCGAGAGGAGGGGTGGCGAACAGGAGGGTGGAGGGAGAACGAGGGGATGGGAGAAGGTGGTGGGTCCTCTTCTACACCTTGATTTACTGTCGGCGATATTTTCTCGTCGGCGCTAGTTGGCGCCTACCGCACCACCGCACCCGACAATGGGTGCCCGCTTGACATTTTGTTTCGAATTATTGCCCGGCTGGCCGGTCCTTTCTATTTCAGCCTCCACCGCGGCCACCGACACCGCCGCTGCGCTCTGCTTTTTTTCCCCAGACACCGTTCTCTTTGTTGAACCGCAAACCATGCACCGCGAGCCGTGCACGCGGTTATCCGCTTCGAATTCGGCGTGCCGCGGATTTATCCGTCTCCCCCTCCCTCCGCAAGGATTCAGCGATTTCCGATTTCGACTGGACTATATTCGACTCTTTTCGCGGTCGATAGAAACGATAAGAAATTTATTCGTTTGTTGTAATCGGTATCACCTATATGTGAGATAATGTGTGTATGTGTGTGTGTGTGTGGACGCCAATCGAAGCATATGTCGTGGAAAAGTGGCGTCGTGAAAATCGTTTAGCGACGCCTGGTTGAGATCGAAACACTCGGATCGGGGATCATCGTGAGACCGATGTAAGCTGCGTGTTCGCAGTCAAGTTACATAATCGCGACGAAACACCGTGGCTAATCGGAAATCGGGGTGGAGATTCCGAATGGGATCGGGAGGGAGTATCTTTCCAATTAACCGCGTCTTTTTTATTCCAAACGAATATTTTCTTTTTTTGAATAAAACATTTCGATCGAATTCGAGAAAATATCTTGGAATATTATTCTCCAACGAGAAATCGAAGATCGAAGGGATGAGATCGCGTCTCGCTCGATCTGTTCAAGGGGCGTATATGCAGGATATATATATATATATGTATGTATGTATCCGGTGATAGACGTGGCGTGTGCGCTCTCATGCCGAAGACGTGACTCGTCTGGCCGAGAATCTGCAGGCCGAGAAGCTAATGTCTTGGAAACGGAGGCCATATTAGCATATCCGCGTCCAATCGTCGCCCACGTGGCAGGCAAGGGCGCCGTGGCAAATCGGGCCGGAGCTATGACATTGTCATTATTTCACTGACAGAACAAGCATGCGCGCGATTCTCCACGGATCCAAGTATCGCTAACAAGGGTGGGAAGACTGTCTGATCGGAACCAAGGGGGATACGGATGGCCCCCGATGCTCCTTTTAAATCGAACCACCGAGCATAATGGCGAGGATCTCTTTCGAATCCACTTCCCTCCTTCTCCCGCCATATGATACGTTCTTATTGAATTATCGGGGAGACGGCTCGGTCATCGATTCGTGAATCGGTGATACGAGAGAGTATATAAGATAAAGGTTTCTCGAATTGAATATCGGGGAAGAGGGGGGAGGAGGAGGATAATAATAATAAGAAGGAGAAAGAAGCGGAAGCGTGGAGAGGACGAATTTGCTCGTTAAACGGAGGACAGAAGCGGGCCGTTGGAGGATGATGGGAATTTCCGAGGGGAGGGGAAGGGATTCTTCCCAGTTTTAGTAAGGGATACCGTGGGCTGCTTCGTGTTATTTATCTATATGGACCCTGGGCAGAGGGTAAGTACACTTACTCTCTGGGTGGGGAGGGGGTTAAGGGGCGAAGTTAAGCCGGAACGAGGGTGGTAAGAGATTGTTTGTCGTATTGGCTGCGGTTTCGACGGGCTTAAACGTTACTCGTTTAAGGGATTTCTCCGTGGTTTTTCTCTCGAGAGTAGCTGGTTGCCTTCTGGATAGTATTACGCCAGTGGGCGTGGACGTGATTTCATTCAACAAGTCGACGTGTTCGCGCATTTGTTAATTTTGATTATTTGTCTCTTTCCTTGCCTTAAACCTGGTTTAGAATTTTCGAGAAAAATTATCTCTAATCTTCGAAGAAAAGGGGAATCGATTCAATGATCGCGAATTTACGAGTCGAAAGGGACATTCGAGCGGCCAGAAATTAATCTGTTGTACCGTGTAATCGGCTTTCGATGATAGAGAGATATTTGTTACAAGAGAACAAACGAACGGGGGAAAAATTGAAAAAAAAAAGAAATATATACTTATTATATATCCTCTATAAATGGAAGAGAGAGATAAAATTAAACTTTTGCTGTTCTAAAAGGTTTTGTTCAACAATGGCAAAATATAAAGAGAAAGTTCACTCGATGATGGATATCCTTTTTTATTCATTAACAACGATTTTGAATACATTACAGTGCTTGTATGTACAAAGTGATATTTACATCGAATCGAAACAACGTGACACACGTCGTAATAAATAATTATTACAAAACAAAACAGAACGTGAACGATAATCTTATCATCTAAATGACAAAATCATTTATACATCGGACTTACGTCTTACACATACAGCTAGAACAACGTTCGTATGGATCGCAAAATTTTAATATATAAATCCGTGGATCGATATCGAACTGTATCATCTCCATTAACTTCCATCTCGCGTTTCGTTTTTTTCTTTTACGATATTAAGCTCTCCTTTAGCGATCAACGAAAAAACAAGGATGATCTCCTTGTCTTTTCGAAAATCGAGAAGAAAAAAGAAAAAGAAATATTCGAGAGATAATATATAAGATATACATATATAATGTATATATACACGCTACTGCAATTATTGCTGTACAGAATACTGTAGTACCGTAGTTCGTATCATTCTTATCCTTAAAAAGATTTATTCGACTCGCTTGTTGTCGCATCCCTCTTTTGAATCCCATCTGCTTCTCTCCTTTATTTCGCCCCTTGTTGTTGCAACGGCGATCCAATAAACTCTTAATCATCCCCCTGAATCGCGGCAAAAGGGAAAAACAACGCGCAACACAGGTGAGCCGGGGTATTCCGATTCAGCGGAAATTAAGCGAGCATTAAGCCGAGGATGGAAGTGGCGATAAGTCAAGCAATTGCGGGCAATATTAAGCCACTCCGTGGCGGCAGGTTTAACCCTATGTTGAGCCGTACGTCGGCCAGGAGGGGGTGCAGAGCTGGGAGAGGGGGTGGAGCCGGAGCGGGTGGAGGTCGCGTGTATTTAAAACGCGAATGCGCGCCACCAGCGATTCACTGTTTGAAGTTAAATGGAGTGTAAATGGCAGATAACAAACCGGCACTGTTTCCGATTACGGCATTCATTGTTTCCTACCATTATGCGCGCTCCGCCGGTTTGTGTGTTAGCCGGGATACGGTTTACGATCTATTTATTGCCGCGCCACCCCCAACACACAAATGAACGCAGCTTACGTCGCGTTCTGTCCCCCCTCCCCTCTCGACTCACCTGCCCTCCCGATGCGCGCGAGCCCAAGTGTTTTATTTCTTGGCTGGAAAAAGATAATGTCGCATAACCTTTTGAATACGTGGTGAAAATCGATCGAATAAAAAACAAAAATAAAAGAAGAAGAAGATAATCGGGATTCGAGGGAATTCGTTGGAGCGAGTTACGATATACAGGGCTTAAAGCTAAAGGATTAAAGATTGGATCGAATCGACGATCGATCGAGATATATTTACAAATTTCTCCTACCTAATATTGACTAGAGAGGGAATATCACTTTAACATTTCAAGAGAATGATCTCTTGGGTTAATCGTTAAAGCTTCTAGCGATTATTCTTTTTTCTTCTTCTTCGTATTCACGTATAGTAAAATGTATGTAATCGATTAATCCCGTTAAGTAGTCGGATTAAAAAGGGGGCAAGTGCAAAATACTCGTGGATATTCGTGGTTAACGAGCTAAAACGGTAAGAATAGATTATCGTATCGTTATCCTGCTTTATCGAGCTACATATGACAAGAGACTGTATATGATAAAAAATTGGAAGAGCATTCGATCTTCGATCATAGATGAACGGCAAGATTAAAATGGAAACAGATCGATCAAACCTTATTTATAATATATCCTTTTCCCATTATCCTTCTTCAAACTCTACTCCCAATTTTTCTCCCATTTTCTGGAATCCAAACTCATCTAATTCTCGAACGAATAACCACTGGCCAGTATCGCGTCCTCGCTCGACGACGATTTCCGTCGTCACTTGGTGTGAACGGTGGTGGCACGCCTCTTTACCTCGACCTGGTCAACGATCGCGTCGCTCTCTTTATCCTGGTGGGCGGTCATGTGCCTGGTCAGGTGATGCCTCTCCCTGAAGCTCTCGTCGCACACGGGACACCTGAGCTTCTCCTCCCTCCTCCTCCTTGCCGCTTCGCCGGTGTTCTCATTCTTGTGGTGGGACCTCATGTGGTACACGAGGTCGGACGTCATCCGGAACGAAAGATTGCACTTGGCGCATACGTTTTGCGCGGGCAGGGTCAACGCGGCGAACGAAGGGGGTAGAAGGCCGGCCACCCCCGCGGCCGTCGCCAGAAATCTCGGCCTGGCGAGCGCGTCGGCCATCGGTGGGAACACGGAGATCGGATTGTAGGGGAGGTTCGGGTAAACCGGGGGCAGATCAGGCCGGAAGCTCGGTATCTTTGGGCTCGGTACTTTGGGCGGTTGCGCGATCTGCGGTATCTTGAGGTTCTCCAACAGACCTGGTTGACCGTTCTCGGGACCGACCAGGAAAGGATACGGCATTTTAGCCGTGGGGAATGGCGCGTACTTGTAACCGGTGGTCGAGGTCAACGGTACGACCGGCGGGCTGACGCTGCTTTGGTAACCGGTACGATCGTCCGGCGATATGGAGGATCGCGGCGAGGTCTGGCCATCGTCGGCGAACCCGTTCCTCTGGATCGTCAGGTTCACCTTGGTGAACGCGCTGCGAGATTCCCCGTGTCTGTCTGCCGGGCAGGGTAGAACGGTGTCGTACACCTTGTTGCAAGTGAGATTCGGCTCCACGACCTCGGGGCAGGTGGTTAACATCGATTGATGGGTAGGGAAGGCGGGCGGGCTGGGTGACTTTTGGAGACGCGTGCCTGAGACGTACCTTCGAACGTCGGTATCGGGCGACAGAGGTGTTGGCAACGTTGGGGTCAAGGTTCTCGGTGATATATACGGCGGACTGAGAGAATTCTCGGTGCAGTGGATCATCCTTCTTCTGACGTCGGAAGCGTCATTGTCGTTGTAATTCTTGACGGTCAAGTTCTGGGGCAACCTGTCCGTGTCTACGACCGTCTCCAACGAGATTTCGTCGCGGGAACGATCCTTCCTGGCCGACGCCATCCTCATCTTCTCGCTTTGACGGCGGGCCAAGTTCTCGTCGGGCGCGACGAGGAACGCCACGTCGAAGGAACGCTTGTTGGCGCGCTGAAGAGGGTACGATGCGTCGGAGGTGGCGTCGGTGATGGACGAGGGGCTGGACGACGTTAACGCCGTCGTGGCCGTCGTGGACGTCGCGGGGGCGGCACGGTCGATGCCACCGGTGCGATCTTCCATTGTCATCCTGCTCGTTCCGGATGATCGACCTGCGACAATGACGCCCGATGGTCAATTTACCGATGGGATTCACGGAAATGATGAATGCGATGATGAATCGCTTCTCTCTCCACCACCTCTATGTAACGCGCCAGGTGTTGCATAGACCCGTGCTAAAATCGAGGGGGGGGAGGGAAACTGGGTCAATGAGAATCGTCGAATTGAAAAAAAATTTCAAACGATTCACGCCCCGAAACGAACGTCAAGAAGGTGAAGTTTACGTTAAAATTCGTCGCATTCGTCGTGGAAATGTAAATGGTCGAACGGGGGAGAAAAACTTACCGGACCACGCGTCCAACGGAGAGAGTCCTCCCTCCACCCGTGACGTGACCGTGCGCGCGCGAAGACAGCCACGCTTTTCACCCCGCTGGTGTCGAGGGGTGTCGATCCTTCTCGATCTAAGACATCAGCTTGCACGTCTCTCCCCTTCCATTGGAACCGGACGAACCGTCGGACCCTTGGGGTCGCGATCACCCAACCAAAACTGGATCGAGACTCACGAGACTCACGAGCGGGATCCGAGAGGCACGGAGAGGAGAAGAGAACGAGTACGGAGGGTACAGCGTGTATCGGCGGACCACGTTAAAATGAAGGAAGCGGGCGCGCATCCCCTGTATTTAGGGCTAGAATCCCGCGGAGGGTAGCCCGGCGTGGCAGGTGGAGGCGCAACGAGGGTGGCACCGACCAATGGCAACGTTCGCAGGGTTAGACGGGGGTGGAGCGTACGAACGGGGTGAACATATTCGGTCGTCGGGACGCGTCTGCTAGTCCCATCCAGACCACGCCTACATATTTCAGGTTCGACACATGTGCCCGGGATCGTCGTCGTCGTCGTCGTCGTGGCCGTCCTCGTCCGTCGACTCTTTCCTCTCTCCTGCCTCCTCTCTCTCTCTCTCTCTCTCTCTCCTCCCCACGTTGCGCAACGCGTTCCGCAGGATAACGTTACTCCGTTAGCCGGAGAGAGAGATTCTGGGAAGGGGAGGGGAAAGGGAGAGGGTGGTGGCGGGGCTGTAATTCAGCCTGACAAACGATCTTGAATATTTTTAACGCCCGCGCCAGCCTCCGCGCTTCTTTTTTATGGTCGACCTCCTGGATATTGGACGTTCGGCAGACTCGTCGAATCCGCTGATGGACCTCCACCGTGCCCGATTATCCCTCCAATGATCATTCAGCTCCAAACGGTTCACGAGAAACGCGTTTCTCCTCATTCCGGGGATATCTTCTTTTTCCTCCGTTCTCTTTCCTCTTTTTCTTTTCTTCTCTTTTTTTCTTCTTTTCTTTTTTGCCTTGGATTCGTTTCTGATATTGGAGAACGATATTTGACGATGATGTGAACGGGTCGTTTCGATTTTGACTTTCTTTTTCTTTTTCTTTTTCTTTTTTGTTCTTATTCTTTTCATATTTTGGCGTGTTAGTTAAGTCTCGTCTGACGAATGATCATCTTCAACAGCTCGTAGCTGGTGGAGAAATGAGACGCATTAAATCGTCCGCGATGGACAGAAGGTGGCAGCAGATCCAGTAGAGATCATCATTTTACGGATTATCTTCCTGACGAATTCTCCCCCATTTCTCACCAGTTCGATAAATACCACCCTCCAGAATCCCTCCAGGTGACATACGGCTCTTATTTGAAACCGGTCTTCTCGAGATAACCAGGATATCTTGTATCAGAATCTCTCGATTCTTCAAAATTTTTAACGCCAATTTTATTCCGTAGAATTTTAAAGTAACGAGAATAAAATCTAATTACCGTTAGTAATTTATCGAATTAAACCGAAACGAGGATTTTATGCCGGAAATCGTTCCGAAGTTATCAGTGAAAAAAAAAGAAAAAAAAAAGAAGAAGGAAGCAAAAAAAGGGTGGGCGAGTGAAGGCAATAGGCGATCAATCATAAAGCTGGTGATCTATTTTGCCGGGCATGTGAAAGCCGTCGATTTCTTACTCACGATTCCGAGATTCTGCGAGCTCTGCTGGGAACGCCTTGAGGTTAAAGGACATTAACTTCTTGATTGAGTCGGCAAAAAGTTGTAATGACTTTTCGATTGGACTGGCCGACCCCGGCGGAGATCCTCCAACGCGAAGCGAGTATCCAAGTTTTTCCCCGTTTTCGAAATTATTTATCGTAACAGAGATTGCAATCGCGACCAGTTGTTAAACAAACAATTATTTTCCTTTTGCGATTACGGCAAAGAAAGAGGAGCAGGAGAAGGAGGAGGAGGAGGAGGAGGTGGTGCTCGAGATTGAAATAAATCGAGTCAATTCGATTATCAAGGAAGCAGATGATAGGCAACGGACCAACGGCCCAACGGCTCTAATCCTAATTCGTGGTCGTAAAGTCGACAGGGAGTCGTTTCATCGACGTTATATGTGACACGCGACTCGCGGCAGGGCGTCGAGGAAACGTTTCTGTATCTTTCGTCGACCATTCCTGGCTTATGAACCATATTTATTGCCGATCCAGCCATCCTGTCCCTGCATCGCCTCCGACGCCGATATACCGATCCCTAATTCCACTTTATGCCTCGCCGTTAACGCTCAAATCTCTATCTTCTGTTCGAGTAGAACGATCTTCTTCTATTGGAAAAGATGGAAAAAACAAAATCGCTTCGAGAATTGTCGATTGTCTGAAAAAAAAAAAATAAAAAAAAACGAAAAAGGATGAAGATTCGTGAGAATCGTCCAGGTCTAATTTCGCAGGCATCTGTCCTCGTTGTCGCGTAAATCGGGTAGAAAGGGGAGGCAGCTTCGCGACGCCCAATTCGTCCAAGTTAAACGGGGCAGAGGGTAGCAACTCGACCGGCACGTGGCTGACACGCGTGAGCTGTTAACGCTGAATCCTACCAAGGGACTGTGTCAACTGTGTTGCTTTGCGACACCTTGCAGAAACATTTCCGCTCGAACGATCGGGATCGTCGATGCGATGAATTATTATGCGAAAATTTCTGAAAGATTGCCCGGAATTTTATTTTTTTCCCTCGCATCGTCTAGACGCATCTATCCAAAGATCGATCGACCAACTGCATCGCAACGAACACTTTTAACACGCGTTCGTTCGTTCCCTCGTTCTTTTTCTTCTTTTCCTTTTTTCTTTTTTCTTTTCCCCAGAGGAAAAAGTAGTACTTTCGAGCAATATCTTGCGATAGTTTCCGGTCGACTGGAGGTAACGCGACGACTGCCGAGTCTGTCCGGTGATAAATATGCAGCCGATGCAGTTGATGAGAGAAGGTCGTTTATCAATCACCCATTAACGCGACCCCACCGCTTCGCGCAGCTTTACCGGCTCCGCCGAAAACCTGCTCGCTTCTGCTTCCATATTTCACGGAATCATCGTGATTCTCTTCCACCGGCCCTCCCCGGGCACACACAGTCGATTTTCCATTAAAACCCGGCGTCCACGCACACGCTCGCGCGCGCACACACACACGCAACCTCCAAAGAAATATTCCATCGTGATACGTTCAATCATCCCTTCAGAAATTCTTGGTGAAATTCTAGCTCGTAATCCGTTCCAATGAGAACGTGGGTTAATTCGATCGAATGGGATTTATATCGAGACTAATTAACCCTCGATGATTAAAATTAATCGATTAACGCGTTTTGAAGAGGAAAATGTTGAAAGAGGATATTTCGAAAGAAGGATTCTAAGAAAGGAAGGAAGAAAAAAAGAAGAAGGAAGAGATGGTTTCAATTTCTTGAACGTCGTCCTCCGACGACGAGAGAAAGAGTAATCGACGGGAGGGAATCTGTGTAGCTCGACGAAACAGGGTGGTGCTCCGTTAAGTCTCTGATAAATTGAACGTGTGATGAGTTCAAGGAGGATTCTTGAAATGGCCGGCCGCGATGCGCGCCGCCCGCGAAAGGGGAAGAAGTGCTACGGCACGAGCCCCTACGGCTGCCACGAGTGCCAGAGATTTAGATTTTACGGGCGCTTGAGCAATTTCTTGACTTATAAGCGGGAGCCGTGCATACCAAGTGAGCCACTATCAAACGTTCCCCGACCTTAATCTTAATCCTCGAAATCGACCCCCGTTTGCGAAAAGTTGCTCGATCGTTGACAAAGTCAACTTACCCTCCCCCTCGCGATTACTCTCCCTCTCTCTCTCTCTCTCTTTATTCCTCGTAGAATAATCACCGATTCCCTTCATAGATCAAAATATTCTTCTCGAAGGAACAAGTGGCGAACGTGACGACTCCGCCAACTTTACGGAAAGTTCTAACGAACATTCAACACCGATTCTTCCAACCACCGGCTGGATATTCGCCTACCATGCAGTTTCTTCTCCGCGTTTCAAACTGCGCGATCATCGATCAAAACCCACCCTCCTCCCCATCCTTCTGCCACAATCGATCGCAAACTAACAAATCCATCTCGATCTCGAAACCGGATCTCGTCGAACCGCCCAATTTCCAATGAAATTTCAATTCACTTTCCGTGCGTTTATACATGGTTGAGGAGGGGGAGAAGTTCGTCGAACCCCCACTCTTGTTGATATCATCCGCAAGACGATATCGGCTCGCTCCGCGGTTGCCCGGGGAATTTAATTCTATTCGAAGTGCCACCTAAGATGCCACCTTCGCCCCTTATCTCCGTGCACACGGTGGGCTGCGCGTGGCGGTTGCTTATGCGTTACGTGAATACCTTACCTAAAACGCCCTGCGGGGTTTCGTTGCGTGCCGTTACCTACCTACCCACCACCCCTCGAGATGGAACCGTATCATCTCCCCCCTTTGCGGCGCGCAGGGAGGGAGCCGAGCGGGGGAAAATTAATGCGACTTCCAACCGGGCGTTATCGGACACCGCTATCTCGCGCCTCGCTCGCGGAAAACGTGAGTCGCCTAGGCGAGAAGTTTGGAAATTTAAGCGGCGAGGCCGGTGCGGAAACGTGGAGCCGCCCCCTCGGATTTCAGGATCGACCCGATACGCTTCTCTCTGTATCCGAGCGTGGTATTTAAAGTATGATAGTGG